AATGCACTATTTTTTACCAATAATATTTTTTTTAAAAACTTCGAATCTTTGGGTCTGTAAGAATTTAATGTTAATTTTAAACTTTTTCTGGATTTTACTTAATTTGCTGTTTTTTTCTTAGCATAAATCTTTAGCTATATCATTAGAATGAACAATATACTGTTCTTAAACATCATTTGTAATTTTATTGTTTTCTTCGAAATTCAACATTGAACCAGTCAATGACATATCTCATTTATAATTAAATACGTTGACGGGTCACTTCTCGGGTCTTTCAGTGACCCACGTACCATTGGTTTTCTACTCCGGGCATAGATTATTATTATATAGGGTGTGCCTCTAAAATCAAGTCTGATATATAGACTCTGGCTAATTTTAAGTGACACACCCTGTAGTTGAAATTTATACTGGACGACTTGTATGTGAAATCAATCATTTACCAACAACTAATTTTGAATAACTGTCGGATTAATTTATAAATAGATTGTATACTATTTGGTTCCTATTTATTCTGGCATTATAGAATACTGTAAATACTTAAATTGGTTATACAACTGGAACTCTTTGGACTTGTATTATTATAAGGGTAATTCTTTGCAAATAGGCTAAAATGATGTAAACGTAGATTACTTAATATTTTTCTATAGAAAAATGAATTCGAAATTTGTTCAATATATAGTTTAAGATGTTTTTATTACATAATCTCATAAGTTTGAAGAGTTATTAATAAGTGTTCTAATTTTATCTTATGGGATATTAATTAAGAATTATAAATTGTTATTTTAATTTTATTTATAGGTTTAAACTTAAATAAGCAAATATTCATTCCCTTATTATTTTCTTATTCCTTNTCATAAGTTTGAAGAGTTATTAATAAGTGTTCTAATTTTATCTTATGGGATATTAATTAAGAATTATAAATTGTTATTTTAATTTTATTTATAGGTTTAAACTTAAAAAAAGCAAATATTCATTCCCTCATTATTTTCTTATTCCTTCACATTATCATTCCCTCACTATGAGCAATTTTTTGAAGGATTGTGTCCTATGTTTTTAAAGACTAGTTAAAATACTAGTTCTTTTGCTTTGTAATATTTTTGAATTAATTAAGTTCTGACATATATTTATAAATATATTCCTTAAAATTATTATTTTAAATCTGTTTATTAGCAAAAATATTATTCCCGCACCATGTTCTCTAACTTTAATAAAAACTTATAATATTTTTAGTATTTTTTTAAAACATTAAGCGAGACTAAGCAAATATTCATTTCCTCATTATTTTCTTATTCCTTATATTTATAACATTCTTATTCCTTATATTTAAAACATTAAGCGTGACTGCTATATTTTTCTTGTCTAGTACCTTATCCTGTATCTTGTTACAAAAAATTAGAAATTTCTGACATAAATCGTTTTCTTGAAATCACTATCTGGAGAAAATTTTCCATGTAATTGAGGTGTTAATCATTATTTATTGTGGATAGATTATTGAGGGTGTAAAACTAATACATTACTATTCGTAATTCAATTCAATTTCAGGGATTACATTACGAATTGAGGTTTTATTTTCAAAGATTTATAATTGCAAATGATTAGATTGTAAATTCAAAGGGAATTTAATAAACAGCAAAAAATTTTCCCCTTATTTTGGTGCCTATGGATACTTTGTAGTTCCTCTTGATCGTAGGGTTAAAACAAAACTTGAGATACCAGTCCGGAATTTTAATCTTAATGTACCTTATTATCTGTAACTCACAGTTATGCGAAAAAGCCTGCAAATACGTCTAAAAGTTTCAAATCAAATGGTCATTGTTATTCAAGTGGTTAGTATTAAAAAATGCCAACGTCACGAAAGCAACCATGCTATAGTTATCCTCTGAGTGCTGCGCGTCTGGGCAATTTGTATGGTATTTAATTTTCTCCTCACTTTTATCTCGTTGAAAATTTAGAATGAAACAAGTTTGTAATCCAGGAAAGTAAATAATTAATAAGGCTAAAATTTCCTGTTTGTGCTCTATACTCTATATAAAATAGCCCTCACTTCATGACTTCCACAGATGGTTTTAAGCAGTTGGTTGAAATGTTTGACTCTAACTCCAATTCCGATTTATACTCAAGAAAGTGTTAATTTAATTATTTAGTAATTGTTGATTTAAAATTATATGTTTTTATTTTTTGCACAATTAAAGTACTTAATTTATTTAAATTTTTTATTTTGTATTGTACATAACAGTTGAAATAAATTTAAATATATATATTTACAAAAAAAATATTTACAAAAAAAAATATTTATTAAAAAAAATATTATTATGAATATATATATATTTATAAAAATATATATATATTTACAAAATATTGAAATTATGAAAAACCCTTACAAGAAAAGAATTATGAGTCAATATTTCACACGAAGACTCACGACTATCACATATATAAATGTCTTAAGCCTAAAAAATTGATTACTGATTCTTCAAATAAAAAATAATTTCATTCAAATCGTGCTATGTCTAGAAGCATAATAAGCTCTACTATAAAGGCGAATAATTCTCGAATTTTTTATAATCTTTTTGCTAAGTGGTATTCATTGAATACTGGTTTTGTGGTAGTCATATTTTTCAAAAATACCCATGTATGTCTGGAAATATCTATAAAATTTTTTTAAATTTTTATTTATTTTTATTTACACAAGGTTGAATACTTTGTGAAATTTTTAAAATATTTTTGCAGCGCGTTATTCATTTGAGACTGGTTTCAGATTAGAATTTGGAAGTCATATTTTCATAAAATATCTATAAATGTCCAAAAATTTCTAAATTTTTTAAAAATATTTTATTTAGTGAAAATCGCCGTGAGCATGTACAGCGAAAACATGAGGTTGGATAAGGAGCGAATATTTCATAATTTTTATACTGACAAATAAATCATTCTGAGAACTACTGATGCGCTCGAGTTTTCTCTGGATATATAAGAATCCGAAGTTTTTTGGTTGTAATCAGGGAAGTTGTTAAAGGTTTTTTGGAAAAGAATATTAGTAAGTAGGTTCGTTTTTCAAAGTCACTAAATAATCTTAAGGTATTCAAAATATTTAGTTTTGCAGTAATTAAGGATGTTGGTGTCATCAAGTTGCGCAACAGGCTTTTAAGAAATATAAAATGTACACTACAAAACCTTTTTCACGAGAAGAAGAAAAAATATTCTGTTTTACAATGAAGCAGTGGGCAATGGTAAGTAGGACAATCTTTTAGAGGAGAATACTGAGTTTAAATAGGGTTTTAAATTTTACCACACGAATTGCTTTCTCCAGAAAGAAAACAATATCGTTTAGGAAGTCCATATTAGAGGAGAAACTATAATGTGACTTGGACTTAAAGAGTATTTGGACCACTCAATTGACCAACCGGAATTCGGGTCATTCTCATTTTCAGTAAGATGCAGCGTTGCTATGACAACCACACCCGCTCACCAACTCCATCTTGGGATAGCTGGCGCCAATTTCCAACCCTAAAGGGAAAATTCTCCCTAGGCATTAAATTTAGATCGCCAGATGATTCATTGTTGAAATTTACTCACTGGATTTTATTGCCCTGTTCCAGGAAGATTTAATCTTCTTCTTTCCCCCTTTTGGAATGACTTTTGGGCTTTTTAGATGACATTCTGCGAGGGTTCTATCTCATAAAAATGGATGCAACGTGGTTGAGTTTTCTAATGGAAAAACTGAAAGATAATGGGTGCTGTTTTCAGCTTTTACAATTTTATGAAGGTCGAATGGAAACAAAATATTAATTACTTAGTGGGAGGGGATTGGAACGGCCTTGATCTCATTGATAAACGTTTTTGTTTGTGAAAGGGAATGCTTTCAGAACAGATACCCAAATGTGGGTCGTTTTCATTTTTGGGAACATTTAAGGCACTTATCTGAACCTCGATCCAGATTTAACGATAGCTTCCGGAGATGAGAGGCTGAAAGAAACTGAACCCTCATAGAATATGGTCAAACTGAGAGGATGGTTAAGCTGATGTATCACTGAAGGTGCCTGCCATCTGTTAATAATCAGATACATGCTAAGTTTCATCAATGATTATTCAGTTACCGGTAGAAACCAAGGATCAATTTTACGCTTACTTAATCTTGGTCCTTTCTGTCGAGTCAACACATTATTCCAGGAAGGAGTGCATGCTGATGGTTTTTAAAATTGATACATATTCTCAATGCAATGAAATTAGAAAAAATTACAAGAAAATTGGAACTTCTTAGTAATAACGTTTTATTTGGAAGGGAAGCAGTGCAAACATCAAAAGGAAACACAGAGACGCAAGACGTGCGTGTCTTGTTGACATTAACTACCACATCACGGTAACTGATTGATTTATAGGAGGTAAGTGATCTAGTTCAGCTTTATGGGGTACCAACTCTGTTGCAATTGAATTTTTCTATGATAATTAAAAAAAAAAACATTTTACACTTAAAGAGTCGCAGAACAACAGTGACACTCTCTTAACTATCTAACATGAAGGTAATGCAAAAGCAGCAAAGGTTAGCATAAATTCAATGTTGATGCTTAGATGGTCGAAATGCAAACTTTATAATCAGATGGTAGAAGTTTTTAGTAAACAGATTTCTCACGTTATGAAAATTGTTATTTGAGCCATGACAGATTAGTGGTTAAGGATTGAGCTGTCATTGTAAAGAACTAGGTTTCTATTTTTGGAGACATCTTGAAGCTAACCCAGCTTTATATCCATAGGTATCAGCATGATTGGGAATTAAAGGCTGTTAGTGTGAAATACTGACCACATTACCATCATCATGACACTGTCACAAAAATGTGGAGCCACTTCTATGACCTACTGGCTCACGATAGTGGTTTAAGATTTGAGTAAACTTGAATAAAGGTGTTAGTTGCTTTTTTGTGAGAGGAGTTTACTTTTAGACTATCTGATGCGTACTTAGAGTATCAGATTTTATTTGAATAATGAATTTTAATAAGTGTACTCACTCTTTCGTTCTCATAAAACTTGTCTAGATCTTCGATGGGCGTGGCGATGAGCTCTGGAGGGAAGTCCGGCGCGAGCGCCCGAGGAAGGGGCATTCCCACCTCGAGTGCGGGATCGGGCTCTAGCCTTTCTTCGTGATGAGGAATGGAATAGTGCTCAGGTACCCCGTCCGGCCCGATCTCACCCTCGGCCTTCAGGCGCTCTCTTTCAGCTTTGCGGGCGTTGGCCTCCGCTATCCGAGCCTCGATGGCAGCCAGTGATTCCTTCGTAAAGGGACGGAATAGAGGCACCGTCTCCTCATCCGACTGCTCGTCGCCGGAAGACATCACCGAGCGATCACCGCCGCCTCCTCTGAAAAAAACATTAAACATCTTCAAATCAAAATACTCTAAATTTATCAACATTAAACATAGTTAATTTTAAAATTGACAACATTTTTGGATTTGAATCATTTGGTTCTTTAACACTTCCCTACTATATACTTTCCTTCCCTTCTGCACTTCCCAGAAAAAAAAATTCCGATGTAAAAAAAAAAATACATATAAACCGGTTTCGGTATAGTACTAGATCTGGTACGATATCGAAACAGGTGTTTATAACATGATATTATATTTAATATGATTTTGGATTTGGCATTATATGAGTTCCAATATGATGCCAGTTCTAGTATGATACCGGAAATTGGAAACAGTGTTTAATAAACCGGCATATTTCCAGTAGAGTTAAAACTTGATGCCTTTTTCGCTTATGAGCATTATGAATAAAGAGGGCCAAAAAAGAGTAGAATGCCGCGTATTAAAAGTTAAACTTAACAATTAAAAATTCCTGAACAAACTACTTTTACGACTAAAAGTAAGTTTAATTACTGTTGTCGACAACAAGTGTATACATGATAATTGTTAAGGGTGCTAAGACTTAAATATAGTGTTAGCTGGCAAAAACTTTAAATCTGTTGATTGATAACTCTAGAGGTAAAAGTGGTCATCTTGCTTATTTACAGCAATGTTTCATAAGGTCACATAAAGATTGGGTTATATTCTATACCCAGAGACTTGCAGACTCAGTCTACCACAATGTAGATTTACTGAAGTTATCGGTTCAAGTCCCTCAACATATACATTTCAAATTCTTAATCCTCCTCAATAGTGTGAGTAATCATATCTAATCACGCATTAAACAATATCTAATTCTTTCGCAAATATTGAGCCATAATGCCACAGAAAAAAGCACATTCATCCATCTGTAGTTATTAATCCTGGGTCTTTTAAAAGATGAGATATAGAATCATGTGCACTGGAATGAGCCCTCAGAACAAAAAAAAGTAGAGAAAGGAATAAAATATAGCAGTGGAGCTAAACATGCTACATATCTGTAAGCCATCTCAAGGAATGATGTANGCCCCCAAATTCACCTGACCTTAATCCAATAGAGCATTTGTGGTCCTACTTGGAAAATCAAATTCGTGCTGCCACGCTACCCCCTCGCAATGTGAGGGAATTGGAGGACCAGTTGGTGAGCGCTTGGTACCAGATACCTCAGACTATCTATCAGCACCTTGTAGAATCAATGTCACGGCGGGTGCTAGCAGTTTTGAGGGCTAAAGGTGGTCCTACATGTTATTAGCAGGGTGGCCACAATGTAATGGCTCTTCGGTGTATACCGGTTTCGGTATAGTACTAGACCTGGTATGATATCGGAACTGGTGTTTCATAAGTTGGTCTAAATTTTCGGTATGATACTGAACCTGGCACGATATCGAAACTGATGATTTATAACATGGTATTATTTTTGATATGATATTGGATTTGGCATTATATGAGTTCCAATATGATGCCAGTTCTAGTATGATACCTGAAATCGGAAACAGCGTTTAATAAACCGGCATATTTCCAGTAGAGTTAAAACTGGATGTCCTTTTTGCTTATGAGCATTATGAATAAAGAGCACCAAAAAAGCGGAACAACCCGAGTATTAAAATTTAACTTAACAATTAAAAATTCCTGAACAAGCTACTTTTACGACTAAAAGTAAGTTTAATTACTGTTGTCGACAACAAGTGTATACATGATAATCGTTAAGGGTGCTAAGACTTAAATATAGTGTTAGCTGTCAAAAACTTTAAATCTGCTGTTTGATAACTCTGTAGGTAAAAGTGGTCACCTTGTTTATTTACAGCGATGTTTCATAAGGTCACATAAGGATTGGGTTATAATCTATACCCAGAGACTTGCAGACTCAGTCTACCGCAATGAAGATTTACTGAAGTTATCAGCTCGAGTCCCCCTACATATACATTTCAGATTCTTAATCCTCCTCAATAGTGTGAGTAATAGTAACTATAACGCAATAATCATTTCAAATCACGCCTTAAACAATATCTAATTCGTTTGCAAATATTGAGCCATAATGCCACAGAAAAAAAAACCTCATTCAACCATCTGTAGTTATTAATCCTGGGTCTTTCAAAAGATGGGATATTGAATGATGTGCACTGGAATTAGCCTTCAGAAAAAAGAAAAGTAGAGAAAGGAATAAAATATAACAGCGGAGCTAAATATGCTACATATCTGTAAACCGTCTTAAGGAATGATGTAAAATATTGATTTTGGCACAAAAGCTGTAAATTCTATTTTAAATTTAATCACAATCCAAAAACACGCCCATCAAACACTTTATAAAGTTTTTTGGAAGTTCAAAAATTCCCCATCTGTAGTCTTCAAACTATTGAACTTCAGGAATAATATTAAAAATAATAATGTTAATAATGATAACATTAATAATAATAATAAAAAGACGTATTCGACTTTTTAAAATAATTTTCAAAGGAATAATAAAAATTCAGACGAACGTATATGCATTTCTATTAGTTCCCTTTTTAACACTCTGAACGTTAGTTCAGGTTTTTTCCGAACTTCCAGATGCAGGCCTTCCTGCATTAGATATTTTGATGCAAATAAAAACTGAAACCTGTTTCTCCATTTATTAAATGAGAAAATAGTACGGTAGCAGTTTTTACGTAGTAGCATGTTTATAATACCTGAATCATAGCACCAAATCACAAGCTCGTGACATTTTAGAACCCTAAGTACAAATAAGAAAATATGTAGAAAAATGCTCTCGAAAGATAATCGAAAGGCACGAGCTCAATAAAAGAGAGGAATGAAAAAAAAAACCGGTTAATAGTTAAAAAAAAAAAAAATAAAAAAATAAAAAATTCAAGAGATAAAATCACTTTATTGGATATGCAGGCAAGCATCCAATGCAGACCAGTAATGCTAGTGTTGCCCAACCATAGCTTAAAACTAAAATTTACTTTTCCATGGAAGGCCTTTTTTATTAAATTAGGTACATGTCCATGTCCACAAATCTAATTGGGGTGCCATTGCTTAACAGGGGATTACGGAGAAACTTCCAGCTACCCAAAACAAGTTCTTCACTATTGTAAACAGATTTAATGCGATATATTTGAGATGGTATCACATTTCTGTAGAGACTAATATAAATATTAAGCGAATTCGATTAAGTGAATTTATTTTGAAAAGGAATCAAAAGGTTATTACTTTTATCAAAAATACTAATTTCAGTCTTAGAGAAATTTAATGTAAATCAAGGAAATCTGATCAGAGTTGGATTGATCAGTTTTTAAGATTAGATAGTGTTGGCATTAGAATAGATAGTGTTGGCAATATCAGTTATTTATTATAACAAACAATTTAATATTATAAAATTTTAAGAAATTTAATTAGAAGTGATAAAGGATAAATATAGATTCCATCAATATTTTCTTTAAAAAAACTGTTTTCACTTATAGTTTTGTAACTTTTTTTAAAACTTAGATATACTAATTTTTACATCACTTTTATCTAAATTTTTAATTTAATACGAACTTGATTATAGTTAATAAATAGCAAAGTGGATTTAAAGTATACTATCTAAATATATTATCAATTGATGTTCAGTATTAATAAATTGTATAATATACCAATAATTTAATTAACCCAGTATATTATCTTCCTCCCATCCTTTATTATTTAACGTCTCCAAAACATAAAAAAGTTTTATTCTTTAAAATTTATGCAACCTTACACCCCCAGCTAAAGTGCCAAAAAATAAAAAGATTTTATTCTTGGAAATGTGTGTTTACATTACAAAGTATATTTCTTTTTCCCCAGCTTAAAAGTGAATTTGTTGGAAGTAAATTTGCTCAGTGTCAACTGTCAGCAATAACATTTTCGCTTTCGAATATAGTCTCTAAAAATCTCTAAAAAAATACTTTATGAAACGTATTTCTAACTAACTTTAATTAATCAATCAAGAAACAATTCAAAATAAAAACTAAAAATATTATTTTTGCTGTGTTTTAAATAGATCAATTTTATGTTGCCCTTATTTTTAATTTATTGTCATAAAACATCTTTAAAAATGCCAAAAGTGCCATTTTGTTATGCTTATTTTCCTGCTTTTACTATTTTTTGATTTTAATTGTTTTCTAAATTAAGAGTTTGAAACTAAATAAGTTATTTCTTTACTCTAACGTAATTCCATGATATTTCTTAATCAAGTTGCATTTTGTGATAAATTAATTAGAATCAGCGTCTAAATTTATTAGCCATTTCACAATTATAATTTTTTGTCATAAATTTTATAAATGGGCTGTTATAAATTACCTTTAAAGTGATTTGTTAAATGATTTAGAACTTAACACTCAGTTTCATGCATAATGCATACACGAATTGTATTTAATATATCAGCCTGTTTGGTAAGCGGAATTGTTAAATTACGGTTGCATAACAATATACCTTCGACTTTAAATGTTAGAAAATGATTACACACAGTAAAATTATTTATGTTTACTTCATAATAGAATCACTTGGAAAATAGAATCAAACGAGATCTTTTATACCTTTTACCAATCAAATTTGATTCAAACATTTAGATTAAAAAAAAGGAATGTCGGACGTACACTGCAAAAAATTCCGGATCAAATTACGGTGAAAAGTACAGGCACTCAGGATGCTGGTACATTTTACCGTAAAATCCATTTTTACCGTAAAGTTTTACAAAGCAAAAAATCTGATATACAGTAATTTTTATAATTATATTTACAAAAAGATTTACTTTAAAATCACTAAATCACTGTAATTAAATAAATACTACTGTAAATATTATATTGTAAGAAAATTGAGAAAATATTAGAAAACTTTTCGTATATTTACAACATAAGAATAAAAATAGAATGTACTAATATTTGAACAATATTTAAGATAGAATGTTCAAAAATCTTCAAATGATAAAGATTTGTCAAGACGTGTTTTGTAGCTACAAAATAATATAAAGCTGCAATTTTCGAA